CGTGAATTCGAACGTCACGCGTGCAAACGAGCCGAGTGCGTGACACGTTTCGGCTTTCGACGTGCGTTTCGAGGTCGGGTCGATGGTCCTTTCGGATGGGTCGCCCGAACGTGCACGGATCCGACGCGACACTCGCGCAGCGACTTCATCGCACGGGTCGGTCGAACGAAAACGAGAATTTTTTTCTTGCCGTGAGTGTATCGTTTCTCGAAGTTTTCCCTACCTTCGTCGAGGCACAGATTCCAACGCTTCGCGATGTCGTTCGTACCGGCATCGTAAGATCGAGCGGTTGCCGTTCGAACCGCCGCGTGACAGCCTCCTACGCTTCATCGCGCGTACGGGTCGACGCCATGCCGTGCCGGACGCCGATCGTGGTGCGAGTCGAACCGTGACCGATTCCCAAATTTCTGTCACTTCGTACGAGCTCGTCCACCTTCGTGATCGTTTCCGCGGCGACATCGTCGACTCGACCCGGACGCGAGTCGTCCTTCGAACTCACGCGCCCGCTTCGGGAACGTTTGCACCACTCGTCGGCGCGCCGCCGTGGTAAAAAGCCGTCGGTGTCGACAGCACTCGTACGGGAATGGATCTCGACGGGTGACGCACCTCCACCGGTCAGAAATGGAATCACGGCACGCCGGACTTCCTCGGACGCACGAGGTACCGTGAGCGCCGTGTCGCTCGAGCGATCGCGCTCTTCTTTCCGTTCCCGCGGTGTTGCCAGCCGCGACAGACGTTCGCGCGATTTCTGCAAAAGCACGCCGAAAGCATCGGACGTCCATCGATGGTGATTTATTTCATATCGCGATTTTCTCGTTTTCGTTCGACCGACCCTCGTGCTTTTCGGTGAACCGTACCTGCAGTGAATTTTCTTCACGATGGAGGATGCCACGGGCAAACGGATTCGGTCGCCGGGTGTCGAGGTCGAGCCCGGTGCACGAGGCGTCCGTATCGCCCGTCGTTCCCCGACCTCTTTCGCGATCCCGGATCCTCCGATCTTCTCGTGTGGAATTCCCTCGGGAACGCGAGGGAAGATCGAGAACCGGCGGTCGGTCGCCCCATACATGCGATCTTCGAAAGGATCGAAAGGTATTCCACGAGAGGAGTCCCCCATCCCGGCGCCGTCGCTTCTCGTCGAGCAGATGGACGAAAAAAAGACGTGGAAATGGCGTCGAGAACTGGAATGGATCGTGGATCCCGCGAGAGTTGCATCATCCGTTGCCATGGCGACCCGGGCGGATGAACCGTATACCCACCGGTGCGAGAGACGGAGATGACTCCCCTCCCCCCCCCCCGTCTGCGTAGTAAGGGAGAATGGGAAGGCCGACTGCCATGTTTCGGGACGTCATGCCGTCATCGATCCGCGCGACCCACACGAGTGGCTGCGGTCGGAGTCTCCCCTGCGTGTTTCCCCCCCCCCCCTTTTTAAAAATAATTCCTCTGGCAGAAAGACGACGAAAACGGGAGTTCGCGATCGGTTCTCGATGCGAGATGGGAACGAACCGGGTGGGGATCGTGGGGTATCCTTTTCGTCGGTTCGAATTCGCATCCGACTCGCGAACCGGACTCGTCACGGCGCAGGGTCGTGCGTTTCTCGACCCGGCACGCCGGAAATCCTCGTTTTGAAGACTCGCTCCCGTACGGTTTTCTCTTTCGTGCGCCGAGCACGCGTCGTGGATTCTCGCAACCGCGAAGCTCTCGAGAATGTAGCTTCCTTAAGGATCGTAGGAGTTTTTCATTCGGGCTCATCCGGTCTGTTTGTTTCGGCACGAAAAAAAAAACGACGCGAGGCAGTCGTCTATCGTCTTTCCGTGTCGATCTCGGATAGATCCGATCGAAAGACCTGCTCGGTGGGTCCCTTCCCGTTCGAATGAGGCAATCGAGAAAGAATTTCTTCCTCCGGTCTCTCCCGTTACCCGTCGAAAACGATCCAGTTGCAAGTAATCGAGGCAGGTAGTGATCCTCGTGCCGTTTCCCGAAGATTCCTCGTTCGTCGCGCACGCAAACCTCATGACGACGTGTATCCGTTCGAAGGTGTAAAAGAACGGAAAGAATCCCTCGGTACTCGTGTCCTACGATTCCGTTGCGGATGGCTCGGACGATCGAGAACGGGATTCCCGGAAACCGGAGCTTTTCCGCGACCCAGGACCACTCGCATCTCGAATCTCCCTCCTCTTCCTCGCGGAAAGAAGTGACTCCGCACTACCGCTCGCTCGCAATGAAGTAAATCACCGTGCGACGAATCCGTAAGAATCCTCACGAAAAAGGGTAAATCGTGCGAGAAACGCTATCGCCGTGGGGTTCAATCTTCGCCGGGGTAACGTGATGTCGTGACGATACTGTTCGAGTGACTCACCGGAACCTTCGCATTTCCCACCTACGGAATGACTCGTTCGCAAAGAGCGTATAAAAGGAGGGGCCTCCCCTATGGCCCGTGGCGCTGCACCCTTCCAGGCGCGGCCGCCATTTTACTGAAGTCGCACGATCAAGGAGTTCATAGCAGACACATGGAGAGGGGGGAGGGCAAGAGAGGGAACTTGCCCCAGGCTATAAGCCTGGCCAGGTAAATAGTCTGCTATGAACTTCTTGCTCTTGCGACTTTAGTAAGATGGCGGCAGCGCCCGGAAGGGTGCAGCTCCTCGCGCCATACGGGAGGCCCCTCCATTTGTACACTCTCCATGCTTGTAATTCTCAAGGCAGCGAAGCAAGGTATGTAGATGTGAAGCATCAGGTAGTGACGACAACTCTACAAGGCGCCATTTTTCGTCCAAGCGCGTCCGGTCTTCCCATTCTCTCCCTCCCTACTGCCACAAATGTAAATATTTTTGCTTGGGGCAAAAAGGGGGAAAACTCGAGAAATAGGCCAATCGCCCTTCCCAGTGAAGACCTCTTTCATTTCAAAGTTTGTTGATTTTCATGAAAACATGAATTGCGGCCGTACCGACGTGACTTTTTCCTGCCTTAAGCCATTGCTCTTTCCATGCTTCATCAATGGGTTGGTCAGATTTCAGGTTATGCAGATTCATTCTCATAAGGGCCCTCCAGAAAATAACTGATGGAGTGGCAGATCTGTACCTAGCCTAGTACTGCAGGTGTCAGTTCCATCATCAATTTCATTGGATATAAGTAGGGGCCATAAAGTGCAGCTTTTAGTGTGACATTCCCTTAAATTTCTTCACAACTCATCACATATGCTTGCTCCATTTGAATTTCCCCGAAATTCCTCCAAGAGTACAGCTTTTTTCATCTTGATTTGAGCATGGAGAAATCTGTCTTTCCTACTTTTTGACTGCATTAAAGAATGGAAAATAATATTGATGTTGCTACTGAGACCAAAGGTTTCTTGAACAGCAGACTGTTCTTGACTATGACTATACAATAATTAAATCTGACATCAGCTAGTACTGGATGAGGTGCATGTAAATTCTTTGACAGTTTGATTTTTAAAGAAGAAATTTTTGCTAAATTGCACCCTCCAAAAGATCTTTGTCATGGTGATGTGAGGATGTCTTCAGTTGCAAGGTTTTCAGTTATCAGAGACACTATAGGGATTCCAATTTCTAATAGCATTGATTTTCACCTTCTTGGTAGGATATAAATAGGAGCATCATGCTTTCTAATGAGTGAAATGGATTTGCAACATTAATGCCCTAGGGACATCTAAATGATGCAATACATCCATGCAGTAGCTTTCTTCTTTCTTTCCATTCCTGATACTACACTGAACCATAAGGTGCCCCACACTCAGTTGTTAATGGATCAATTTACAAGCACTGATGGTAATTATCTGTTGCCTGTTCTTCAGGTATTTACAAACTTTTCAAGTACATTTCCCCTTGCTCCATAGTTTTCACCTTCCTCAGAAGTATTCAACGGTCAATAGCATCAATGCTTTATTTTTTCATCATTCAATGTGATCATCAGATCATCTATCACAGTGATATTGAAGAAATTCTTCAAATAAAATAAAATCACAAAAGTAACAAGCACCAAGCAACAAAACATTTGGCGAATTATAAGGCTACACTACAGATATTATCCAATTCATGAATTCATATTTAATATTCAACTGCCTCCAAGGAAATAAATATTAGAAAAACTGCAATGAACAAGATCAACGAGGCCTAGACCGGAACAAAAGCATTTAAAAGCTCAGTGCAATTCAGAAAAATAAATAAATACTGCAATACAAATCGAGGCTTAGGCCCGAACAAAAAGGGCATTTCAAAGCTCAGTTCAATCCATGGCCTCTATGGCCAGGACTTTCCCACCTAAAACTCAATGCCCGCCGATCACGTCTTTTTAGAATCTAAGGAAAACTTGAACAAATGGAGCCCATTTCTGCTCCTGTTCGAGGCGTTTGGGACCGAACACCCAGGCATCTCAATGCAAAGTAGGAGGAACGGTACCCTCAGCATGGACTAAAGATGGCTCCATCATTGCTTACCATTGTGCCTATCAGGGCCGGATTAAGAAGTTGCGAATCCCGGGGCAAGGGAATTCCTGGGGCTTCCCCCCCCCCCCCCCCCCCCCCCTCCCCCCCCCCCCCCTTAATCCGGCCCTGGTGCCTATAGGTCGTCCTTACCTGAGAGCTAGAGCGTGTTCGATTTACCTTGCAGCGAAGGCCTCTCCAGAGACATCTATCTACACTCTATGCTCGTTCGCCCTTGCTGCAGATACATTTTATTCGTCCCCTATATCATTCCGGAGAAGGCATGCGATGCGTGATGGGCCTTCAAATCGTTTCTGTAAAAAAAAAAAAATAATATAATATATATACATATAGAGGAAATTTTGGAGCGGGTTATCGACCCGCGGCGAAGTAATATGTGAGGTTGCCGAGAGATGGTACTCTTACGGCCATCCTCTGGCTTGAGTTCCCTTGTCCCGTCTAGTACGGGTACATGACGTAAGAGTACCATCTCTTGTATATATATATACCGGGTAATTATACGGTTGTCGCGGAGTAAAGAAGGAAAAGAAGTTGGTGATGGAGTCCGATGGAAGCGATTCGGGCCGCGGATCCCTATCGTGGACTCGACCCGATTCACGTTTTTCCTCCATTTTCAGCGCTGACCCGAAGAGAGAAGGCGAAACGAGTGCTGGTGAACCTGCTGAAGACGGCAACCATCGTCGGCCTGTTGTATCTGTTCGTGTGCTCCTTGGACCTGCTGTCGTCGTCCTTCAGACTGATCGGAGGCAAGGCGGCAGGTGAGTCTCTTCCCGCGACTGCTTTCCCCCCGAAGCCGAGACGCAAAAGGAATCGCGTTTCCTTCTCTCGCACGTAAAGGGGACCTGTTCAAAGACGTGGAGGTGTTGAGGAATCCCATCGTGGGGGTGATGCTGGGGATCCTGGTCACGGTCCTCGTCCAGAGTTCCTCCACCTCCACCTCCATCGTGGTGTCCATGGTGGCCGCGGGGATCCTCACCGTCCCGGACGCCATCCCCATCGTGATGGGCGCCAACATCGGCACTTCCGTCACCAACACTCTCGTCGCCCTCGTCCAATTGCAAGACAGAAACCAATTCCGACGGGCCTTCGCCGGCGCCACGGTCCACGACATGTTCAATTGGCTCACCGTCATCGCCCTCCTCTTCGTCGAAGTCACGACCGGTGAGATTCCCTACCGGAATGGGAATGCACGTACGTCGACCGTGACGGTAGAGGAGCGGATGCGTGCGAAATCGCATCGTACGCCCGTTACGTTACCCCGACCCGGCCGCTCGCGATGATCTCTGAAGTTAAAGCCGATGCCTATCGACCCCTCTTTTCTTCTCGCGTTGCGTTCGCCCGAGAGTCACGCTTTCGTCGGGTCGGGCCTCTGAGGCCTTTCTCAGACGATCGCGCGAGACGAGGCTCGCGGAAAGGATGGGCCACGAGAGGAAAGGCTAACTCCTGACGTCATCGTAGTTCCGGGTTCTCCCTCGAGGATCGCTTCCGTTCCGACTCCGCTATGATACCGTCTCGTGGCCCGTGCGACGAGAGTCATGGTTCTCTCTTTTTCGCGACCTTCCGAGCTCGTGATGACGTTTCCGGTGGGATCGATTGCAGGTTACCTGGAGAAACTCACGGGGACGATCGTGGCTTCTCTGGAAGCGCACAACAGTACAGGAGGAAACGTGGAGTTGCTGAAGGTCCTCACGAAGCCCTTCTCCGCGGCCATCGTCCAGGTCAGGCTGGATCTCTTCGCATTCTCCTTCCTCTTTCGCGCTCGAACCCCACTTCCTTGCTCTTCCTTCTCTGAGCATTCGGAAGGGTGGAACGTGGATCCCTGCTCTTTCTTTCAGTTGGACAAGAACGTCCTCATGGCGTGGTCGGTCAAAGATTCCGCTTATGCCAAATATGCAAACGCCACGTCCTTGCTGAAATCTTGTAAGAAGTTGGAAATCGTGACGACCGTCATCGATACTCCTTCGGGTCCTCGAAACGCGACGGAACTCATCACCAAGGGAAAATGTATGCATTCTCCGTTTGCCTCGTGCTTCCGTCCTTTCCATCGGCTGCCACTCCCCTCTCCTTCGCTTTCGGTATCGTCTCGTTGCGATCCGACTCGAAGACCGTCCTCGCCACCCGGGGACGCGACTCCTTGCGTCTCGTTGCGCACCCTGTGTGCAGGACGTAAAATGTATGACGATGATCGCCGGTCGCACGAATACCTGAACTCCTCCCAAAACGCACTTTCGGTCCCAAACAGCGGCGTAGCGTCGGAGGGGCCAGGAGGGGCACGTGCCCCTTCCGCTTTTCAAGAGAAGAAGCAAAAATAAGAGAAAGAAAATACCCAGAAATGCATAACTGTATCCTAGAGTTGCCCCCCCCCACCACACTTTTTCCGTCCATGCTACGCTCATGTGCGGAATCATTTTGCGTGCGAGTTGAACGGGTTCCGGCTCCATTTCCCTACGCCAAGTCGTTTCTCGTTTTTTTCTGTTTTTTTTTTTTTTTCCCCTCGTCATTGTCGCTCGTTCTATGACTCACTTGGATCGGTTCCACGACCAGAGAGTGAGAAACCTCATGGATTTAGAGGAAACGACGAGGCAGTCGGCTTGGAAAAAAATCGGCGATCCGACTCGAACTCGCCTGCCGCACCGTTTCTCCTCGGAGACGAGTATTTTCATCGTTTCGACCGAACGCGGGAGACGCGGTGTCGTCATCCGAGTTTCCATTTTGCGAGAGCGAACGAGAGGTGTAAAAATGTTAGATTCGGACTCGTAGGAGGAGTGAAACGGTGAGTATGACGAGATCGGTCGTTTCGGTCGATCGGGCACGATGGAAGTCGTGCGTCCTTGAAACGGCAAGGAATCGACGTCCGATGGAGTGCGCATCGCGAAGGAACGCGTGCAGAGTAAATAACTCTACGTTTCGCTCTGCCGAGGGTCGACATTCGAAAGGGGAACCTTTCGTCCGATCCTTTCCGATGCTTTCGTTTCGAGAGACGGACTCGAAGAACGGAACGACTTCTCTCTTCGGCTCGGGGAACGTGCGCAGTGGTCGTCTGAGAGACGAAAAGCGAAGAACGCAGGTAGTCCGTCCTCTACCTACTTCGGGGGAAGGTTTTTCCTTGGCCGTGCTGGCCGTGATCCAGCCCCGAGACCGCGTCCTTCCTCGTTAAAAATACGGTACTCGGTACCCGTTGCTCCCTTCGATGCAGATGCGTTCGATCACCGTCACGTTCCATTTTTCAAGTCGAACGTGCCGTACGTTCCGTTCGATGTCGTTTCTTCTGCGCGATCTCCCGTCGGATCCATTAAAAATAGGTACGAGCGATGCCCCGAGTGAGGTCGGTAATCGAAGGAGAACGGGGACGATACGGAACGAACGAGACGGTAAACGAGGACGAAATACGAGTGTCTTCTATTCACACCTGGGACTTTCTCATCCTCATTATGGCCTATTTTCCCGTCACACCCAGTGACCTGCATGGGTTAGAAGTAATCCACCCCATTTCATCTCCGTTCACCTTCTCGATTACCGTCCTCTCGCGTGGCATGGAATTCGTGTCCTTTGCATGTTTCACGTACGATTCCGTTCGAGAAAATGCGAAATTGCCCCCCCCCTCCCCCACGTATTTCGTATTCATTGCTCGATAGTCCTATGATAGAGTTCTCCGTTCGAGTGGAATCGGAACAAACCATACGATATCTATTTAGTTACAGCCGACGCTCCATATGACGAACCTCTATATAACGAATTTTCTTTACTACGAACATTTTTTTTCCAGTTCCCAGCCGTTTGCACATTCACATGCATGTTAAAAAGTTTCTCTATTACGAAGTTCTGTATAACGAATTTTTCCGTTTTACGAACTCATTTTTTCGTCCGAAGGAACAAAACTGTTCCGTGTTACGAAGTTTTAATCTGTAGCAGACTTCAGAGCTACTTTCCCTCGCGCATTCCAGGAAAAAAGTAAATCTCGTATCTAAATTTGGCATGTTCCTTCCCCTTTGAGGGTGGCCGTGGGGAGAAAGGGAGACCAGTCAGTTAGTCTTAATCCTCTCAGCGAGTAAGATGGGGAAACGAAATAATCTCTCCTTCGAGGAGATATGGAAAGTCATCCTCGCTGTTCCCAAAGGTGGCGAGAAGGACATCGTGATAAGGATCAGGGTCACGTAGAGTCCAAAATTCTACTCGGTCGGGCAATAGAAGCCTACGACTATGTTCAGTCAGAAGCCGAATGTTGAGCCTGAAACTTCTCGAGCATTGAGTGCTCTGCAGATCACAGCTCAAAGAATTGTCCAGAAAGGAGCGCGGCAGACGATCATTTTTTTGCTTCCGATGAATAGCTGAATAGCTTCCGTTGCTGACTCGTCCGATTTTTATCTAACATAATTTAAGTATCCATTTAGATACATACATTACTCTTGAGAACTAGATTTTTGCAATATTGCATACGTTTAGACCTTCGCATTTTATGAATGGACAATGACTTGCCTCTTTTTTTTACTCGACGTTTTGAAGTGATATTGACGTAAGTTTAACAGACCTTTATTCTTCAGTGAAATAAGGGAAATTCCCTATTACGAATTTTCCTAATAACGAATTTCTTTTAGCCCATCCCTTTGAGTTCGTTATATGGAGCGTCGACTGTATTTAGTTAGGAAATTACAACCATCCCGATGGTATGGGTAGGAATGTTATTTATGGAATTAGGTACACTAAGACATTCGTAATTGAAATTCCGTATTTTGCCACATACACGGTGGCCCCGAAAATATTTGGATGAACGCTCGTGGCCTTTGATGAGGAAAGATGTCGACAGCGAGCTCCGTTAAATTCGACACGTTCCTATACCCTATCCACGATCGTGATGAGACCGAACCGCTGGGAAACGTACAAACAGGAACGAGCGACAAATCTAAGGTTGGAGTTCCCTTGTTCTCTCGGAAAGGTGCTCGTATGACCTTCGGGTCACTTTCAAGTGGGCCACCCTGCATATGTGCAACTGACGAGTTCGTTTCCCTTCGGCAAAATCACCCTTTTTCGAGAGTGTATATATCTAAATCCGCATTTTCTCGGATGCAGTTCGAGAGGTTTGCGATGTTTACCGTGCATATAACTCGGATTTACTGCCGTTACGGAACCGATGCGACCGAAACGCGACCGCGGTGAACGTGGCGGTGTCCCAGCGCGTGCCCACATACCATCATCGTCGTTTTATCCTATGGCTTAGGTCATCCTGATCGTTGAGGTTGGATCGAATGTTAGGGTGGATTTTTGAACAGAGAACTATCCGATAATGCAGCTTTATTCCAGGGAAAATACATATTTCCTGGAAATAAAGCAGCACTATCGGTTAGTTCTCCGTTCAAAAATCCACCCTTAGTGGTTGAATGGCTTCCTATAGCGGAAGCCTAAGGTCTTGAAAAAGCGAGCGTCAACTTCAATTTCTCTACCTTTTCACCCCGATGAGAGTGAAGAGAGGAAAATTACTCAGACGTTTGATTTATTTAGCCCTTCCAGAGTAAGTTACGGGCAAAAAGAGATGAAACTGGAGTCGGCGCTCGTCTCTTTTTCGCAGGCGCAGACCTCGAAGCAGAGGCAGACGAGGCATCCTTCCAGTCTGGCATTGCCTTACATTCTTCACCGGTTACATCGTTAAAATGTTTTCAATTAAGGAGTCCTCATGAATTCCATCTCCCTCCCCCCACTCTCTCCCGCCGGTTTTCCGTGTATCTTGGTGAGAAAATGCGCTCGAGTCGCAAGGCCAGTCGAACTAATCTTTCATTCGCCGTGGTGCTTTCAGACAAACACGAGCTGCAAATGCTTCAGATTTCTAATGTACAGCCCTTCCTGTTTATATTTGTTGCTCTAACCCCAGACGGCAGAAAAAATTCTACTGTAGATTGCGGTTCGGTGAAACTAGTGGCTCGAACCCTCCGCAGATGCACGCTGCCTGGGCGATTTTATACAAAAAAAGTATTTCGTCGTGAGTCTCCTTTTGAACTTCCTCGAACTTTGCCCCAAATCTGTAGTTTGTTTTGTCGTGGTTTGGTTGTGGACAAATTTTGATTGCCGTTTTCTAAACCCCCGCTCTAAAGCCAATGGCCTTGCACATTCTGCCTGCTGTCCTAGGGTGACTTCAGCTGGGAATCCCACCTTTCGATAAATTTCCCGCATTCTATCCTTGGACGAGAGCGGTTTTGCTACCCCTTCGGGTGATCGCTCGTTTGGAAAATTCATCCTCCGAGTTGCCACGACCGACGCTTTCGCCTCTGCCATCATCCTTACCCTACCCTCTAGTTTTCTTTTTCACGTTCGAAACCGATGTATTATAGATGACCGGTCGATTTCTCTTCCGTAAACAGGCTATCTCTTGGACGAGATGGGGCTGGACGACGTGTACGTGGGGCTGATCCTCCTCGTTTTTTCCATCCTCCTCCTTTGCGGATGCCTCATCGCCATGGTGAAAATCCTCCATTCCTTGTTTCAAGGTATGCAAACCCCGTGGCGTCACACGTTCCACTTTTTTGAAGTCGTCTTCGACCTATATGGAAATACCATTCGAGTAATCGATCCTTGGCACGTGTACGAGTATCCCTGTTCGACCGATTACTGCCACTGCAATACCCACATGTAACCGATATTTTATTTTTTATTTACGTTTATATTTATTTGCATCGCCCTCCATGGCGAAGAGAATGACTCTCTTCGGCTATCAGATTTCAACGATAGGATCATGCACACTCGTGAGGCCCGTCGCGTTGTGGCTAGTCGGTCTAATAGGTCTCTGCCTAAACGATCTTGCTTTCGGTAAGTTATTACGACCACGTCTCATCGAAATGGTTCTTTTAATTTCTTTTAAAAGGATCTTTGAAAATGTCTGTCATCATGCGATGCTATCCTCGTATCGCCTGATGACTTCCATGACCGATAATTGGCCGATTCCTATTCGGATCATCTCCACTGGGTGTTGAAGGTAGAGAGAATGGGAGAAATAGATAACCATTGATGTTGCGGTGATTCCTTTTTCCAGGTTCCATAGCACGGGTGATAAGGAATACGATCAACGAGGACATCCCCTACGTGCCCTGGTTGACGGGATACCTTGCCATCCTGATCGGCTGCGGACTGACCGTCATCGTCCAATCCAGTTCCGTCTTCACGTCCGTCCTCACTCCTTTGGTGGGATTGGGTGCGATCAGAATAGAACGAATGTATCCCTTGACCCTGGGATCGAACATCGGGACGACGACGACGGCCTTGCTGGCCTCTCTTGCCGCAGACGCAGAGCGACTCCGACCGTCGATCCAGATCTCCCTCTGTCATCTCTTCTTCAATCTCAGTGGAATCGCCCTCTTTTACGTCGTCCCGTTCATGCGCTTCCCCATTCACCTAGCGAAGATCCTCGGGAACACTTGCGCAGATTACCGCTGGTTTGCAGGTTTCTACCTGATCTTCTCGTTCGTCCTGTTACCGGTTACGGTGTTCGGCCTCTCCCTTGCCGGCACCATCCCTCTCGTCGTCGTCGGTCTCCTCGTCGTCGCCACCCTAGCCTTCGTGATCGCCTTGAATTTATTCCAGAGAAAGTGTCCCGAGTCGCTACCGAAGATCTTGCGGACTTGGCACTGGTTGCCGGAACCCCTCCGGAGCCTGGAACCCTACGACCGAGCGATTGGGAAGATGTGCTTCTGTTGTAAATGCTGTGCGGTCGAGATCGGAGGCGCGGAAGAAAGGAAACCCGTCATAGTCGCCAGTTCCAGGGCTTCCAGTTCCACTTCCACATTGGAATCCATGAATCCCAACATGGAATCCACGCCCGTATGATCCCCGATCCTCCCTTTCTCGTTTTGCGATCCTTCTCGGACGCAATCCTGTCGTGTCTGTCATGTGATAACCCGAAGATTCTACGGCTTTTCTCCGCCTTTCCCGAGAGGGTTAGCATCGCACATTCCTCTGCGAAAAACCATCGCGGAAACTACAGTTTAACGATTTAGCCTCGCGATCGTGAACGAAAAAAGACGGACTCGTAGTCCAAGCTAAGATCTCGGTAGCACAGGTCGTATTGGTAAACGAGAAAGGAAGTCTGCCCCCGAAAGAGTACCCATTAGCCAAAAGAGTTTTCCTCCATGCGCTCTGCTCATTCCATGTGCCAATCATCTTGAACGATGTAACGACGTCGTGCCTTAGCGATCGACACCCCTTTGTGACCCCCAGCACAAGATCTCCGAGGAGTTTCTGGATAACCACTCCCGGTCATCGTTTGTTTCCTGTTGCTACGTGAACGGTTTCCGTTGCCGGCATTCACTCATTTTATCCACTATATTAGGAAAAGTTTATTTTCGAGAACACCGTTGTCAACTAAATCACTTTCTTGGACGTTTTCCATATGCCTCGGTGTGAATAAAAACTCAGTTTCTATTTTTCGGTATGATTGGAGCCCTGCATCTTTACGAGTTGTCGTCTCCGAGCTCACCGCACGAACCGATGTCCCCGAATAGACGGTACGTAGAACGAGGGGTGGGGTTCGTTCTCTGCTCGTCCGACCCTTCGGAAGAAGGACCCGAAGATGGAAGTGGGTTCGACGAGTACAGTGAGCTCTTCATCACCACCTTCTTCATCATCACCACCAGAGCTTCGCCATGCACACGATGAAGAGAGAAAAGTGGTAGTGCGTGCATCAACGTCAGTGTTCCTGGTTCACGTTTAGAGGTGTATCTGTCCTCCAACATTTGGAATACGTGACCAGTGCATTTCATCGATCCCATAATATAAATATTTCCTGCATGTTTAGGAGGTAGCTAGCACCTCCTGTAAAGTTTAGTGAAGGGTTCAATGCATAAATGAAGAAACTTACCTATAGTTACTGCTCGCACAAGAGATGCAATTGAAGCTCTTCTCTCACTGCACTTCTTCCAGGTTGCCGTCAGTCACTCCGCCAAATGTTAAGGCATCTACATATTCACTATCATCAAAGCACGTCATATACCGGTCCACATCAATCTCCTCATCTGAAAAATAGCCTGAATTTAAATTTCAGAAAGTACTTTTGGGAAGAGGGGTTGGGGGTGTGTATGAAGTGTTCTTGTATCTTCACATGAGGAAACCATAGATGCTATTTCCACAGCCGATTATTAAGGTCACAGTAAACAGTGTACTGTTGAACGTGTTGGGCCGAAAGGTGCGGGTCGAGGTCGATTCATTCGATGGAAGTAACCCTTCACTCTCCTGGATCCATCACACTAATGGGCATAAGCCGAGCTCGGTGCCAGCATAATGTGCCTTAGCAACATTTTAATGGGACAAATCAGTCTTCCCTAGCATAGGTTACCCAAGTAGCACATAAGTCATCAGCTACATTGGGAGAGGAGAGCCCACCACCTTTACTAGATTGTGAGCAACCCTGGGCAGGGCAACCAGAGCAGACAGGGGCATGTCTCACTTGCCAGCACTAGCCCACCACCTTCTGGGCCGCTATAGGGGCAACCAAGGGAGGGGGGGGGGGATAAAATCTTGCGCTTGTGATGCCATCTCCATCTCCACTATAAAAGTGGGGGCTTTGGTCTTGACGATCTCACTACCTCGCTGCAAGACAGGTCGCACACACTCTCATGTCTCTCACAGCCTACATTTACACACAACATTTACTCTCGTTTGTCCGAGCCAACTAGGCAGCATCGTACATACATTGCCGATCTGTTCGTTGATTTCGATGGTATTCCTAGGTTCCTTTATTTCATTCACTCTCTTAGCAGCGGTTGATTTAAAGGACAGTGACAAGGATTGCATTGTCGCATTTTTTTTTAGCGTGTTTGCATCATTTCTCCTTAGATTCCTATCATGATCGAAACGCTATCAGGCGCTTGAAAAAAGATGCCGTTCCAACAGAGAATCTGGCCGAAGATCCAACGCAACCCCCCCCCCCCCTCCCCCCATAAATGTAGGCTGTGAGAGACATGAGAGTGTGTGCGACCTGTCTTGCAGCGAGGTAGTGAGATCGTCAAGACCAAAGCCCCCACTTTTATAGTGGAGATGGAGATGGCATCACAAGCGCAAGATTTTACCCCCCCCCCCGCGTTCACGTTCGGCGTCTAACGGAAATTTTTTTTAACCATTTGACGGTCTGACGATTCATTTCAGCCAATGGAGGACCAGCAGGTCTCCTCATCTCTTGAGAATGGAAACAATGATATAAAATCTCCGTACCGGATGGCCAAGAATGCTCATTGCTTAGATGTAGAAATCCTTCGTCAGAAGCTGAAAGAGAGCACAGGAAATAATGAAGCAGAGATAAATTATTTTCTTTCAGGTGATGCAAAAAAGGAACGGTCGTCGAAGATCTCCAAGGAAATGTAAGATCTCCAAGGAAATGTGTCTATGATTCAAAAACTCTTTCACAAAGGAGTATTCACCAATACTCATTGTGAAATAAGTTATCAACTACAAGTACCCGCATATCCATCCATTGGCTATTGGGGTCTTCGTACCAACCAGAACTCTTCCAGATGCAGTGAGGATGGACCGGGATCGTTAGGAATTGAAATGAAAAATTGGCAATAATAGTGATGGAAAAAAGGATTTTCGTGACAGCTAATGACCGTGACCTAATGTGAGATGGCCGGACATCAACAAGATCAACAAACCCATCACAAGAAGAGATTTTCGATGTAGAGGACGTTTTCACAGGTTTCGGATTTCGCGATGTCATGGTCTTGCCCGGTTTCCCATGCCAAAGGCGTGCTTCGCTACCCTGTCCACTTACATAGCATACCCAAAAGCGCGAGGCGTTCCGCCCAAAACGCGTTTCTGCGCAGATCTAAGAGGGGTCTCTCCGACCCCCCTTGGGGGCAACACATTACCAAGTAGCTCATTGGTGATGTTATCACAGCTTAGAAGGGAATTACTACCTCATGTACATCTGTATATCCGCTTCACCTCGAAAACTCGGAGCTCTAGCGTACTCAGAAGAGTACCCAAGGTTTCCTGCTACTTCTCTCTTCCGCACTCAATACAGAACCCTGAGAGGGTGTATAGGACTCTAGGTCCACTCTGTTATACAATATACAAGACATATGATGTAAAAGAACTTATGCACTTTACCTCTGCTTATTCCCGTAGACTTCTGTATTCCTATACTTAACTTCACCATTTAATAATTCCCTGAGTCACATATTGCATTAAAACATCGTAATTCCACGCTTTCTGCTTAAAAATTGCTCAGTAAAAAGAGGAGAGGGAATACCTTGGCTAAATCAGGAAGGCAGGCACTTAATTGCATTGTAGGGTGTAAGGAACATGGGTACCATCTAGTGAGGACTCTTGATACTGCATCTTGGGGAGTGCCAGCTACATTATAGGAAGAGAACTGAGGGTCTGCCACCTACACCAGGTAGCACGCCAGCAACTATGTCCCACTTGCTGTCACGTTCCTGGCAATGGCAGAAATCCGCTACTAGTGTCCTATGGCCTATGGTCCACCAATTTTATGATACTGTGGGAAGTACAGGATCAAGTTATTTGTGGCTTCATATATCCGGTGGTGGCCTGCTGGGTTATCTGCCATTTCAGCCGGCACTTTTCCGCCTTCGACAGAAATCCACCAGTATAGTTCCTTGGGCCGCTTATGGCCCACTACTTTTATGCTACTTGGGTCAAGTTAAGTCAGGTTAGGTTAGTAGCTTGAAGTGCCGTCATAGAATAATATGGGTGCCACTTGTAGTCCAATATAGTGGCCTTCCTTGCTATAAGAGCGGGAGGTAGATCACACCTCATGGGGCATTACACACTATTTTATTACAGTTTTTCCCAATTGCTAACGTCCGTTTCTCGAAACTATACTTCTCAAAACTCTGCAAACTTTTCACAAAACTTAACATCCGGTTTACGAAACCGGATGTTAAGTTTTGTGAAAAGTGCTAACGTACGAAAAGCGAAACTCGAAACGCGTTTTTCATATCTTTACGTACCTTTTTCGAAACCTAACGTACGGAAAGGATAAGAAGACCGATTCGCGACGAGTGGGGACGATGGATGCATGGCTTCTGACGGCAATCTCTATCCTCCAAAATCCCTTCCAACCAATCACAGATGTTTCCATCGTCCATAGTTGTCAGAGCTGAATGCTCCTTCTCAAACGCTGAAATAGTTCCTTACGTCGATACAGCAATGTAGCTGGCAGGTAGTAATGCTGATTGCTTTTCAGAAAAATCCAGAATACCTAATCCTGAGGATTTACTTGCAATTAATTTACGTTACAATTTAATCATCTAAAAAGGGTTGAAAAGAGGTCATTTTATGGTCCTTTTTATCATAGGTTACAACATTGTTATGACCTTGGGACCCATTTTTGTTCGTAGATATGAGTGTTCATTGCGAAAATCTCATGTCACGATCTCCAAATCTTTCCAACTTATGCTCGCTCTGTTGGCGCGTTGAGGAGTTTTCGACCGGATACAACTCCCTGCACCCTTTTGAATGACGACACAAGTCAAGTGACTTCTCAAAATAACAGTCTGACCTTATTAGGGTATGGGAAGATAGTATTAGGCTCGACCGGCAGAAACCATGATCTTATATGGAGCAGAAATGTGCAATTTCCCGTTCAACGAAGGCGAGAGGGGAAGAATGGGAGGGGGGGGGGGAGGAGTTTGTGTGCTTTCAAGCAGCTCCTGGTCCATATATCTTACGCGAAATAATCTCAATGGGCGATTTGATGGTTTATACAAGAGGTTTCATCCTATGCTGGTTTCATCCTGGTTGATCACTGTTGAAACACCCGCCCTATACACATCAACCCAACAACCGAATCTAGATTGTATAAATTGTCAGAGTAGAAGTCGAGGACAAGAAATAAGTCCTCATCGTATGATCCGCAAAACTGTAAAAATATTTTGTGAACAACAAATATCACAGAGAAACGACGTCAGTGTATTGGCACGAGCACATCATCGGTCAGATATAGCGCCATCTATTATACTTAAAATTGTCATACGGCATACGTGCCAAACGTCCTTCACTGAAACATATTTTCCAATAGAACACATTGCTGGTGTCCTTTTGAACGAATTTAAGGCACTCGCGTCATAACGTCCTTGCCTCAAAAAGTAACGTACGCTCCATTGTTTGACATTGGGGAGGTTCTGGCCGATTTCACCAGATATGGCTGACAGGGCGGGCATCGATCCGCGAGACTCGTCTCCTTCCCATTCACAGTAATGAATCGTCCTGAGAGTTTTGACGAAGGTACCTTAAAGTTTTGATTCCAGGTACGTTAGAAATTGATCGTAGGACGTTCCGGTTCGACTTTTTTGGAGCGGAAATCGAATCTCGACAACAGTTCATACGGTTTTGGCATGGGTACGTTAAGTTTTGAAAGTCATCATTCGTCGAGAAATCGCAGATACGTATATGAGGGCATTGTGCATTACCCTAGCCTGGCCTATAGTTACGAGAAACTCACATAGTTTTCTCGATCCCGTACGTCCAACATGGAGTCTCAACGGTTATATTGAAGCGGATCATGAAAACACTTGAAATAATAAGCTCGAAAAAAAGAGAAACCCATGTCTGGACTCCAGAAGTCTTTGTGACCCTCCGCGAGAAAAGTTTCTTCGATGTGAAACCTAGGAATTTTTACCTATCAATATAAATTGCGTCTGCTGTTGCTTACAATTCGTTATAGTGGATTTCTTTTTATTTCCATACTAGAAGCAGTGACATACACGTGTATATTATCAATATATCTTCATGGTTCAGGAGAGTTGGAGTTTTCCCCTCAGTCACACATTATCGTATTTTTATTTTCTTTCTGTATGATACATAAGCGAGAAATCTATTGCAAGAAGGAAAATTAAACGTCCCGAACTATGCATTTTATCGCATGACGTTCATTTGATAATTTGAGTTTAAAAAATAAGTGAAACCAG